AATCGAATTCTAGATTATATAGTTGAGCAATTGTTTCAAATGAAAAATTAGATTATATCGATTTCACAACAAATTTTTTAACTTTATATGAATATCAAATTTATTTAATTAAATTTATACATAACTCATTCATATGAGAATGGAGTTGCAAAAGTGGAAAAAATTGAAAGTGTTAATAGGTCATTCATATTTCTTTGAAGTAGAACTTAATGATTATAATATTTTCATGGAAATTCAAGATTGACAGTTACACTTGTTCAAGAGATAGCTTATGTAGTGGAAAGTCGGTATTTACTTGGAAAAATATAAAAGATAAATAGCTTTATATGTTTCATTAAAACCTTTTGACAAAAGTTTTTCAAATAATTATTTAAAATTGAATACTATTACTTACTCAAAATTTAAAACTATTTCATTTCAATTTTTCTAGGAATATAATTACGCATTAAATGTGAAGCTTAAAACAACTAAAAGACATTATAGATGTTAAAGATCAAAATATTACTGAAAACTTTTGCAGAAAATATATGTATACACATCAGTAAGTTATCACTTACATTATTTAAACATTTAAAGTCATTATTTCTTTTAAATAAATAAAATTTAACTTAAAATTATATAAATTTGCACATGTATAAAAATGACTACACTAGATGGAGATGGCACAAATTAAAAAAGGTTAATTTGTAGTTATGAAACTTTTAGTTTCAATTTAAATATTTTGTTAAAGTAAATAATACTATTTATAATATATTTTGGATATTTTATTCTTCCTCAAATATTTTTATTATATGTTTTGAATTCTATCAAAATTTTTAATTAGAAACTTTAATTTTATTATGATTTCATAATCTTAATTATATTATATGTATTTTACATATATCTTGAACGTATAAGTTAAAATTTTTCTTTATTATATGAATAAAGTATAACAATAAATTGTAATTTCTAAATTAATAACATAAGAAACTTTAAATGTATGGTACAATAAGGTAGAGTTCAAAATTTAGAGCAATGGTGTAAGGAAATTTCATCACAATTGTATTTAATAGCTCCATATTTGATAACAATACAAAATTAAGCATTTTCATCTTTCCTAACAATGTCTAATGATTCATTAAATAAACAATCAGAGTTAACAATGTCTAATGATTCATTAAGTAAACAATTAGAATTTTAAAGAAATGTATCTTAAATTTTGATGCAAAATAGCAGTAGAACGAATAGCAATCTATTACATTATTTAACAAAAGCAAGTTCATTAGACCATTGTTTATGCAATTAACAATCTCAACAATGTAGCACATATAAGAGAATTTTTATTAATATAGAAAAAAAACAATTATGGGTAGTAATTGGTTATTAGAAAACCAAAAACATAAAATAAAACTCTTTCATACCATAGAATCATACATGTTTCATTGAACTCCACATATTAGAAACAAATTTGGTATTATTGATAATAATAAGTAGTTTTAAAATTTATAAATTAAATATTTTTTCAATCGCATAAGATCAATTGGTGCATTGTACAAGGGTTATAAGATAATTTAAATGCTAAAAAAGATTCATTTATAGGCTCAGGCCATTAATGGTTATATAAAATCCTAACAACATTATGGCATGCTCAATAATCTTTTATTTTAGTTATATCAGGCACTTTAACCATTATTGTAGCAAAACATATTTATTCCATACTTCTGAATCCATGTCTGGCTATTGACTATATAAAACAACTGTTTCAAATCTATTACATTTTTTTATAGGATTAAAATTTTAATTCTTTTATGTGTATTTTCTCTAACTTGAGAAATATTAGTAATTTTCATTACCATTAAAGAGCACAATCAGCAATTTCAGTTATTTTACTATTAAGTTAACAATAGCTTTGCATATGTTATATGGTCATTTGTAAAGATCCATTAATACATTGCAGTCAATAGTAATTATGATGTCAAAAAAATTCAAATATATATGTTTCCAATATGAGGATAGATTAATTAGATTAGTATCTTATTTTAAAAGGGACACATTAATTCACAGACTTAGATACATATTACATTATAATATCAAATCTAATACAACAAACCATTAGTCATGTAAACTTTAATGATATCAATAGTTGATGAATTGCACACATAGCCTACCTATTGAATTTTTTCTTTAGACATATACAACAGAATAAAGGTTTTAAGGTTTTTTTAACTCTTTGCCATTTATTGCAGTACACTATTCCAATAGAATTCATGAAAGGTTTGCAAAGAATCATTTTTTTTTTTCCAAAAGTGAATCAAATTTATATGGCAAAAAATGACTATATGTAATTGCGTGAAATAAGCAAAAATTTATATGTAATTACTACAAAACTGATTAAAACACATTACAATGCTAATCTTTTTTATTTTTTGTATGAAAAGAAAGAATACACTTAAGAACATAAGTTAGATTTAAAACAATCTTGCCAACTTTTTGTTGCGAGCAAGAAATCTTAAAATCTCAATCATAGCATTTTCAATTCAAATTAATCGAATCTTCTACAAATGTCATAATAAGCATATTTTATAGAAGTCAATAGTAGTTTATTCATATGTAATCATATTGTTATAAAAGTCTCTACTATCATTTGCTAACAAAGATATATTGATGTTTTAGACATAGAATACAAATTAAAATTGAATAATAGCAAACTTAACCCTTTAATAAGAAATGAATACATAAAAGTAAGGATGAGACTAACAATTCAAACAGTTATAAAAATGAATTTATAGTCAAATTTGGTATTAAGGTTTGAACAGTTTCATTTTTACTTGAAACCAATCACCTAAGAACAATTCAAACAATTATGAAAAAAGTTTATAGCCAACATCAATCTTAAAATTTTAACAATTTCATTTTTACTCTCGAACAATCAACCAATAAAAACACGCATAACAAAAGTAATTATGATAAATAAATTTATTAAAACATACATAACAAAAGTGAAGAAATGTAAAAAGCAAAAAGGAATTCAATTATGCTTACTAATAGTTGAAATACGAAGATTTGGTGGAAAATGCTGGATGTCAAATGCATTTTTAAAAACACACAGAGTTGCTTATACAAAACAAAATTAGAAGAAATTAAATAATTGAAGAAGAAGCAAAATATAATACAATAAAAAATTGTGTCATTATTTTTTGATAATTCGAATATATAATTTTTCTCCTTAAACAATCACATATTTCTTCCCATCCAAAACAAAATAGTAATATAAATTCCTTACATAAATTTTCAAAATGTATCGATAAAATTAAAAAAAGAAAATAGATCTTCTAAACTAACGAAACATGAATTTTACCAAATGGAAAATCTAATTAGGGTATATAGAAAAAAGAGTTTCAAAGTAGTTAAAAGATTGGGTATATACTTGGAATGAAATTTGCTTGCCTTAATTCTTTATCAAATCTACTGACAAAATCTTTGTTTTCAATTTTTTTTTAATATCCTTTGATTTATTTTTGAAAAAGATAATAAGAAGACAATAGATTTTGTTAGAGAAATGAGGAAGAAGGAATGTAGGAATTTTGCAAGGATTTTTTCCGGTGAAGATTTGGGCTTGGGAGATTTATCATATTTTTGTATTAAAAAATTAATAAAAACACTAAAAAGATGAGGAAATCGAGGGGTTGCATATATTTCACAATATAGATACATGAAAAACGTTCCCGGTAATTATATTTAGAATGAGAAAAGTTAGTTCATTGTTTTTGGGTCAAAAAATAAATAGCCATGAAATGAAAAATCAAAAAGTCGAAATTGATCATTCTTTTTACTCATCTTTAAAAGTCCACATGTCACTCAGATAGCAATATCAAAAAAAAAAAAAAACATATTGTTAAATATTCTTATTCAATTACATATTAAATTAACTACATAAAACATTAACTATTTTTATAATACCCCTATTAAATTATACATTAAATTAATTACATAAAATTTAGTTACATATTAAATTACTAAAATATCATTGCTATGTGTTTCATGGAAACTTGACATATGGCATGTATTTTTTGAAATATTTTTATTATCTACAATCTATCTATAACTATATGAGAGTTAATTATAAGTGAAATTATTATAATACCCCTATTTATTTATTTGTCATTTGCTTCATCTAACATTAATAGAAAATGTATTACATGTTACATATATTGTTGACACTTAGCCTTTTAAGAACATTACAAGCATTATGTTTACTTATTAAGGTCAATATAAATATTTTAGGGTTTGTTAGAAAAGGGTGAAATTTGTGATTTGTTTTAATATATAAGAATATAACAAGATTGTGATAAGAACAATTATAATAAATTTATGTAATTAATTTTATTTTATAATAATTTATTTATTTAGCATGAAATTATATAGGTCCCAAAGTGAAGCATTGGATTTTTTTCTAGTATAATATATTTTTAACTTTCAGTTGTGCATAATAAAATATTTGGTGGAGGGTAGTCGATTGTTTCATATTTCTTTAATTGTTTTGTCACTTTTCAAAAGGATAGTTGATTGTTTGACGGAGGATAATCTATTACTGGGTAAAATTGGAAAAAAAAATGACCATTCTCTTATGAGCAAAAGAATGTATGATTAGATTTATCAAATATGATATTAGTCATATGATATAAAAATAATATAAATAAAAAATATAAATATGATACTATTTAAAATTTTAATAAAAATTAAATATAAATTTAAAAAATAAAAAAAAATATTTTTATTAATATAAATTATAATATATAATTTTTATATAATATATAACAAATTATTAATATTTTATATAATATAAATATAAAAATTATCACACGCACATGTCACATAATAAAAATGCTTTCATCATGTGGCACCTCTACTATTGAAGCGGGGTTACCAAGTACCAACGCAGTTAAAACAAAGAAGTGACCGTAACCGTGCCGCACCATGGCCTCGGTGGATTCCAAAGGGCCCTTTAAGTGATTTCTGAGTAAACCCACAATTCATTAGCCTATTTAGATTTCAAGTGTACGTTTCCTAAGAAAAAAAAAAAAAAAACAGAAAACTTATTGAGCTGCTACCCCTCCCTCTTCCTTGCGGCATCACTGCTGTTTCCGCGGTGCCTGCCAGAGTGCCATATTTAAACCTAAAAGCTAAAAATGTGAAGAAAGAATAAACAATTTGAGAATTAGTATCTAATTCAGCAGTGAGCAGTGAGCAGTGTTAGATTTTGTGAATTAGGGTTCGTAGTTGTGGCCAAATGGCCAACCAGTTGTATGGGTACTCAAGCCCATCACCTTCCGCCTCTCTCTCTCTCCGTTATTTGGACTCCGACTCCACTACTCATTCACATTTCCTTCACCACCTCCAGCCCTGGCCTCCCACAGTCGACGTCTCTTCCTCCGCTGCTGCCGCCCCACCCATCAAACGCCCCTCTCAAGGTAACCAAACTATCTTCAGATTTTCTTTTAGTTTCAATTGCATAAATATATCTGATTGTCAGTTCAATTCTTTCATATTTAATGTGGTGAAACTACCTTCATACGGGCCGTAATTGATTCAAAATATTGATGCTAACGATGATATTTGGCATTAACCTTTACTTTCAAATTTTAGATAAACTCTTCTTCTCTCTAGTAAATGATACCATTATAATCAGACCAAACAAGTTAGCTATAATGTTTACATGTTTGTGTGGTTAGTCAGAGATGACATTATTGAGCCTATTCTTATACTAACATTTGTACTTTTCATTGTAACATAGTGTGTTGTCTAATGCTATCTGGGATCCCATAGGCAATTAGCTTGCATCAGCATGTTGAAAAAACTGACCCGGTTTTATATTTTTCTTTTCTAGAAGGCATTGTAAGTTATCTTGATTCTAATTTAACTGTTGAAAATGTCGAGCATCTCCTAATGATTTTAATTACTTTCTAGTATTTGGTAATATTTTTGAATCAAAAGTTTAAAGTATTTATAATTACTTTCACACTTTTATTTGGTATATAATTCCCAAACTATTATGTCAAACTTATACTAGTAACGTATATATTTCCTGTTTTGTTGTATATATCTACTATGTACTATAGTGCTCTACCATCAGAATGTTTTGGATGCCCATAACACAATTGGGCAGATTGAAGCTTGGTATTCTACTAGCTCTTTAGTCAAGCGACCTAGATTCGAGAGTTCAAGCAATTTACCTATATATCCTCAGAGGCCAGGAGAGAAGGATTGTGCTCATTATATGCTCACAAGAACCTGTAAGTTTGGAGATAGCTGCAAGTTTGACCATCCTATTTGGGTTCCCGAGGGTGGAATCCCATATTGGAAAGAGGTGACCGTTTATTACCATCTTTACACCAATGATAATGAATCTTATTAGAACATGCCTATAGAAATTACTTTTTTTTTTTTTTGGGTACAATATAAACATTACTATTTGAATGAAATTAATTTTTGACTTTTATATATTACACATTTTTAATATTAATAAGGAAAGTACTATTATATACCTGCTATTTTTCACCTTTAATGTATATGATTGCTGCTATTATGCATGGATAAACAAATTTCCAAGGGTTGTCTGGGTATGTATTTAGTTTTACCTTTGTTTTAAAGAATTTGCACTACTATAGCATTATGTTTGCATGTTTTATAAACTTCAGTCAGTGTACTCAATCATATCCAGTAATCTAGTACTAGTGGTCCATTTTTCAAGAGTGGTTCCAAAAATAGATGTTGAAAAATTCATCCTTTCTTTTGAATTTTACATTTTGTTATTGTTATAATCGAATATTTTTATATTATTTATATAGAGATGTCAAGACTTAATGACACTTGTATTGATTATTGATATCATCATTTGTGGGCATGGTTCTAAGGGTTATCAGAGGATTCTGGTTTGGGTTGCCAATTAGATTATGTAAAATTTTAAAATAAACAAGGGTCTAATAGATTTGCCTCCATGGCTAGATGTATGGTTTTATTACATAATGGTCTGGTTTTGTAATATATAATTTGGATGCTTATACATGTATGTTTAAAACAGTTGTTTTGGAAACTTCATCTATATAATGTTTTTCACTAGAAAAGAAATTGGGAATTTCATTATTTACACAAAGTTTGCAAAATTGAAATTATATCTAAATTTTCATCCTCCTATTGCATCAACCTATATGACAAATGGAATTCGCCCACCTCTGGAGTCAAAAGATAGTTATACACAAATATTCATTAGTATTTTTTCTTTCTCTCCAACCTTGCAAGAGTGAGGGTGGAAGAAAGCAAGCTATTTTTTGGCAGCCCTTCTAGGACATGAGCACTGGAGTCGGTCTTTTGGGGTAACTGCTACTAAGAACAGCCTAGAATGATGGCTTGAAGAAAACAGGCTTCTCCTTAAGGCCCTGCCTCAAGAATTTCTGGCAGTCTTTTTAAGGAAGCTGAGACATTGTCTGACCTCGGCCCAGGAAAAAAATGTGGTAGAAAGGGGTAACTCTTTTATCACCTACTGATTGGCGCATGTTTGTGCATATAAAGCAATGTATCTGTTGCTGTCAGTCTGTCTTGCTAGATGGGTTCAATGTACTGGAGGTGGAGATCGACGTACCTAAGGATTAATGATATGCTTTTCTCAGCTGTTTGGCTAAGTTTGATGGGCTATTTTGTAGTGGTTCTAAATTTCTGAGTGGGTCCCTTTAACATCTACACTTTTGTGCTTCTTCATTTGTTTACTATGTGTATATTTAAAGATAGGGTTGGTCGATTATTAATTTTGTTAAACGTGCCTACCTTTTTTTGTAAGTATTACGTGGTTGTTCCAATTAAAGAAACACGGTTATTTGTTGGTCTACTTTTTATTAAGTTGTTTCTTTGCCATATAGTCATATCAATGAGCTTAGCACCCATGTTGGTTTCTCTATGTTAGCAATTCTATCCTGGTATTGCCAAAAGGGAAAATCAGTTTACATTATTATGATACATTTTGATTTGCTTCTGTTTCTTTAGGTTCCACTTCTTGCCACTGGTGAATCCCTCCCTGAGAGAGCCGAAGAGCCAGATTGTCCTGTAAGCAGTTATTCATATAATTTTTTATGCTTTTAATTTATTTTCTAAGTTGAATTTGAGTTCCTAAAATATTCTATTCTATTGTCTGTTTGATTTTGCAGTTTTTTCTGAAAACTCAAAGATGCAAGTTTGGTTCAAAGTGCAAGTTCAATCATCCAAAAGATAAATTGGCTACTTCTGTATGTTCTACTCATCCAATGTTTCCCTAATTTGCAGTTGTTTTCATTTTTTACCCTTCAATGACAATGCCATGATTATTTTCTTAGGGTGATTCTGAGAATACACAAGTATCTGTCTTACCAGATAGGCCCTCTGAGCCCCCATGTGCTGTAAGATATTTATCTCCTTCCTTTGGTTTCTTCTTGTATCAGTAGTACCAACTTGAGATTTTTAATTTGTAATCCTTCATCTTATAACTTTTTCAGTTCTACATGAAGACTGGAAAATGTAAATTTGGTGCGACCTGCAAATTCCACCACCCAAAAGATATCCAAATACCATCATTTGGACAAGGCAATACCAAATGTGAGCAGATTGAAGCAGTCACCAAGATTGGGGGAGCAACTGTAGATCTTAAGCCTGCACAATTTCTTAACTCCAAAGGACTTCCAATAAGACTGGTAATGTGTGTAGGTGTGTGCATGCATTTGTTTTTCTTTTTTAAAATAGTTGGTCAATCAGTGATGTAGAATATGTAGGGAGAAGAGATAAAATATAGAAATCTAGTAGTAAAATCAGAAAGAGACTGGAACAACTAGGGAGGAATAGAGGAAATTGGGGGGAAAACAGAAGAACTAGGGAGAAAACCTGAAAAGAACCAATAGGGGAAGAAAATTACAATAATTCAAATATTCATAGTCCGAAACCTAATTGAAACTAAATAACATAGGTGTTTATAAGTAAACCAAAAACCCTTGTCACAGAATAAAGAATAATCTGCTAAATAGAATTTAACCCAAAAATAAAAGATAGAACCAGAGGAAGAAAGAGAATTGAGAGAAGAATGAGAGAGGAGAAAAGCAACTTTTTCATTTCATAGTTTGGCTCGTTACATTGCTGACATATATAAGCACCACATGTTGAATTTAACAGAATTTGCTAATTACCAGAACCAATAAGAAAAGGTCATCTAAGAGCTCCCTATTACAGTTTTCTATCCAAAAAAAACTAGTGATTGGCTGCTACCTTAGCTCAAATGGTTATGCCAGTTTCATCTTCATGTCCACCGCCAGACTCTGCTTCTCCCAGCGTCTTTGTACGGCACTTGTGCCAACTTTCTCTTAGACTTGGCAATTAGTGTCATCATGTCGTGTTTCATGTCAGATATGATTTCAGACATGAAACGAATAATTTGGACACAAACATGACATGAATGCATAAATGACACGAATAACTAACACACGAATACGAATACGACATGTTTATTATACGTGTTACACATGACACGACACGATTAATACATTTAAAATTAATTTATGCCCAACTAACACAACACCACACCACACGATCAACACGATTATATACGAATAAAACGATTAGACATGATTAATTACCCAAATAATATGACATGATTAACATGATTATATACGAATAACACGATTAGACATGATTAATCTATTTATTTGAACAAAAAAATATTTTAAATTAGTATTTAAATAAAAAATTATTTAAAAATTAAATATTTATTTCTATTTAAACACAAAAATGATATGATAAATACGATTATTAATTTGTCTTTTAAATAAATTAAAATAAATTTTAAATCTTTTTTTATGCTATGGCAGTATTGTATTTTAAGCGTGTCATTATTGTTTGACATGAACACAACACGAATAATGTCGTGTCTTAATCGTGTCGACATGATTAGGGCACGGAGCACAATTACACTAAATCCATACATGGTTTTTTTATGTCATTTTCGTGTCGTGTGTAAAATTGCCAGGTCTAATTCCTCCTGTCCTCTAATCATTGCCCTGCCAATAGTCTTTCCCCTTAAATTCATCTCAACCCTAATAAAATGGAAAATATCAAATATAACCCTAATTAAAAAAACCGAATAAAATAAAAAGGCTCAAATATAACCCTTGATATCATCCCTGAAAGAATTCAATTCTTGAGTGTTAGAATGCAAATACTGTTCTGCTTTAGAGAATCCATAAAGAGAAAAATAAATGGCCTTTCCAATGAACAAGATAATATTGATAGTTGTCAAGACAAGAAGCAACAAGTCATCACCAAGAAGCCCTGCCACCAGTAAAATGTGTCTAGGAATAATAGCAGGCAAAGCAATTGGCTCCAAAGAATCCCAATGAGGTACTGTACTTTCCACGTAAAAAACAAGACTAACATTCAAGTGATTGGGGAAAGCAAATAAATATGTTCTAAGTCCAAGTTGTGGGAGGAAAAATATAGGGAAATTGATGGCACTGAATTTAATTATATGGTCAAGAAAATATTCAAGAGTGATGTAAACCATTACACCTTCAGTGACATCAAATGTCTTAGTCCTACTTGCTTGTCCATGGTAAAATTAAATTAGTCCTACTATGCATGTCCATGGTAAGATTAAATCCATATAATTTGCCCCAATTTCTTGTCTAGTCCCAACATGGAGATAAAAAATGTCAAAGGTGTCGTGGAAGAATAAAATCTACAGGCATGTGGGACTGTTTTTCAATGAGGCAAGAAAATGAACTCGTCATGAAACTTATGAGTGAACTTAGGATCAATCCCAACGACAACCAACTCCAAATCGCAATTTCTAATCTCATTTTCGATCAAAAAACTCTTGAAAGGGAACTCACATGTCCACTCAGTGGGCACACTATCAATATCGATGATCTCATTCTCATTTCAACCCTCTAAGCTATATCTAACATCCAAATCACCTATCATCATAGTAATTTGGTGAGCGCTACCTTCCTTTCCAAGGTTGAGTTCATCCTTAGGGTATTCAATGGGATCATGACTATCAGACTGAAAGGAAGTCCTATGTTGGGAAACATTCCTAGTAATCTCTCTGCTACTTAAGCAGACTGGTAAACTTCGTCTATAGAACTTGGAGTATACAACTCTACAGCCCTCCTAATCTCCTCTTTGAGGTCATGAATAAATCTCCAAACTTTTATGAAAAGGTTCTTCAGTCATTTGCACCCTAAGCATAAATTCATCAAACTTGTCTTTGTAACTAGACACAGTAGTGGCTTTTTCTAAGATCCAAAAGTTGGTCATATAACTGACTTCTATGATAGGGAGTTAAATACTTGTCTTTCAATTTTTTATCATGACAACCCACTGAGTTATAGGAGGCTCACCTCAGTTTAGGGCCTGTTGGACACCATCTCTTGGACACCATTCAAATATTTGTTGGCTGCACCTATGAAATTCATTTTAGCAAACTGCACTTCTTTTTATTTATATATATATATATATATATATATATATATATCACTCAAATGACACCACTCTAACTAGTTTTCTAACTCTTCTAAGCCAATCTAAGAATTCTATAGATTTTATCTTTCTATAAAAAGATTGCTAGTCAAACTTAACTAACTTGCAGGCATAAAAATACTCATATTAGTGCCTATCATCCCTGATAAAGTGTCTTCCATTCGCAGGGTAATCCTCATGCTGCCTAGGAAAATGCCTATGGGCCCCTTTATGCATTGGAAAATTCTTATCACCCCTATCATGTAGTCTATCCTGCTCAAATTCTCTTCCAGTGTGTGTTGTAATGTAGGTGGACCATCCATAAACTGCCCATCAAAATCAATTGCATCACCTTATGACTCTAGATGAACATGGGGTTCTCTAAGCCAACGACTTTGAACAGCTTGTCTATGGACCTTACCATTCCCTAAATTTGTTCCAGGAGTGGGAAGGAAACCTTTACTAGACCAAAGGCAGATGAACTGATTGAAGGCAACAATGCACTTTTGAATGATCAGACCACTGCAAATCTAGCTTCAAAGTTTCATCTATTTGTTTTAGCTTTTCCTGTAACCAGCTAGGTAAACAGAAGTTTCTGACTGGTGCCAGATTGAGCTTTTATTTATGAATTATGAGTGCTGAAAGTAAAGATTTGGGTTAGAAAGTCCTTAATTTGCTGAAACTCAATGTAAAAACCCGATTTGATAGCTTATTTCTGGTTCAATGGGTTATGATTTCATCAGTTTTTGACTTGGTTAGATGGTTCGTGGATGATATGGCTGGTCCTGTCTGCTGTTGATAAGACTGCTTTATACAAGAATAGTTAGCCTTGCTATATATATATATTGGAATTTGAGCTAAACTTGGATTATTGGTTTTGATTATTAACATTTTAGATATTGGAATGAGTATTTGAGACTTGATATTTGAGTTAATATTTATTTCTAGAATATTCTGAGGGTTATTATTTCCAGAATATTTGGTCTAAATCACCTAGTCTCTTATTTTTGATTAGAAGTTTGATGTTATCGTGTCTGGCTTAATAAATGATGTATGCTTGGTTTTGACAGGACGAAGTAGATTGTCCATTCTACTTAAAAACTGGCAGGTATGTATATGTTAGCCTTTTGGCAAATTGTTTTGTTATTGAAGAATTATGGAGTATCATCCAAACTTCCAAAAGTTTCTTACTTACCTTTTTAATTTTTAGTTGCAAGTATGGTTCTAGTTGCCGGTACAATCATCCTGACAGGAATGGTACGCTAATTCAGTGTTTTTGATATATTTATCTAAAATTTCCAAATGTTGTATTCAGTACTTGTGCCTTACACTTCATTGTTGAGCTTTTGTGCAGCATTCAATCCACCTGCTGCAGCGATAGGCCATTCCCTTATAGCATCTGCAAATAATCTAAATATTGGAGTTGTTACTCCAGCATCCTCTTTATATCAAACTATTGATCCAAGATTAAGTCAGACAACACTACTTGCACAACAAACATTGCCAACGGTAATGGGATTTTTTTATGGTTTCTGCATGTAACTTTTTTTTTTTTGGTTTCATGAAGAGAATTTTATTGGGTAGCCTCCACCTTTCTCCCTCTGCCTGCTCCATTTCTATAAGTCTATATATATTTATTTGTTTATTTATGTCGGGGGGGTAGCCAATGGATTGCTTTGAGCATGTATGGGCGAGTTTTAGACGGATAGGGTTGCAAATATCCATTTATGACCCATTTCATCTGTATGTGCATGTCCAACCCCTCATTGCCCATTTGCATGGGACAGGCCCAAACCGCCCATTGAACTTCTTTTTCTTTATAAATTATATTTTATTATGCAAAATCATTCTTTGACAAATTTGTCAATATTTTCTCAAAAATCTTATTTTCATTTTCAAAACAAGGAAAAGAATCATCTTTTTCTTTTTTCTTTTTCTGCTTTCGTTTGCTTCTTTTCTCTACTTGCCAACCTACTAGCTGCATCTAGCATGTTGAGTCTAGATTGCGGCCTTAATTGCGATTTGGCTTGCCAGGACTAGATTGAGCCATGGCTAGCTAGATTGGCATTAGTCTAAGTTGGATCTGTTTGCACAACCCGGCGTTAGTTCTGGACGTTGCGGTGCTGCACTAGTTACTGTTGTTTCTATTGTAGAAGAGGTTGGTTCTGCCCCGTGGTGCTGGATTGTATAGCTAGTAGGTAAGGAGAGAAGCAAAGAAAAAATAAAAGGAAATAGGAAACAAAGAAGAAAAAATAAAAAAATTTAATGTGAATTATTATTTGTCTGATACGAAAATAATTGCTAATTCTGTTTGAACTGTTGGTACCCATTGGGCTCTTGGACTACCCTTTTTTCAGGTTGTTTTTATATTTGTGCCCGCTTGATACCCATTAAATTAAAGAGCAGGTTGGGTGGCTAAGAAAAAAGTCAAAGTGTTGTTTTAATCTTCTTACCAAATTAAGTGTAGGTATTCAATTTGAAATAGAGATTACAGTTTATTATTTATTAATTAAAATTTTTTTTGTTGATTTGGGGGAGAGCTTATTCGGAGATAGCTCTTTGAGCAGAGGATACTGGCATTTTCCATTGGGTCAAATGCTTGGGTTAATTGTTGTTAAATAACAAAGACATTTATTAATTTTTCCAAAGATTTCAAACAACAAAAAAGGCAAAATAAACTAGTAAATTATGTATTATTAAACTTTTTTGGTAATATGTTCTTGAGGGTCAGTTTATCTTCTCACTACATTGCCATTGTTGTTTTGTAAGTGTTTTTTTGACATAATGGGGCCACTGCTAATTCAATCTTACTTCCATACTGCCATTCCATCTGATTGTTGCAATGGGATTGTTATTGTTTGCTAACACTACTTGTTAAGTCACTTGTATGCTACATTGCTTATGCTCAAGTTCATACAGTTTGTCTCTCAAGTTTCCTTCAATCTTATGTGGTTCCTAGTTCCTGTAATCTTGTTGATTGAATATTGTGCTGCGTTTGGATACCATTTTGTAAAATCTGGAGTAATCTATTCCTTCAATCTTTCCTCCTAGGTTTTTCAAAATGCCTTCCGTACAATAAAACACAATACTTTTGCACTGTGGAGGTATTTTGCTTGATGTTTTTGAATTGTTATTGTTTGCTTAAATGCTGATGCATGTTGTTTCTTTACCTATTGAAGATGGGTGTGGCTCCAACTGTGTATCCTCAGAGACCTGGACAGAGTGAATGTGATGTGCGTATCAATTCATTCTGTTTTCTAAATTTCTAGCTGTAATATATGTTCTTTTGTTGTTATTTTGAAATTCAGTGTTGTTATCATTAATTTTATTACCATCATGAAAGTTGTCATACAGTTGATCTTGGATTCTGAGCTGCACGATTATTTCATGCTATAAAGTGTCCTTGGATAAACTTTTGTCTTAGTTTGTAATGACACCTGCAACATAGGAATCAATATGCAATTGACGACTTTTTTCCCATTTTATTTATTTACATTGCAGTACTACATGAAGACTGGGGAATGTAAGTTTGGGGATAGATGCAAGTTCCATCACCCCGTTGATCGATTAGCATCAACAACCAATGAAACTTCTCAGCAGGCTGTTAAGCTCACACTTGCAGGATTTCCTCGGAGAGAGGTTTTCGTTTCCCTTTTTTTTCCTAGTGACGTTATTCTTGAATATAATTTATGCTTTTTTTTTTCTGTGTCTGTTGGATCAGCATTTGTCTATGGTATGTCATCTTCAAGCATAAAATTTGTAGTGCTAGATTTTTTTTTTCTTATGTGCTACCAATACTTTGACAGGGATCTGTTCATTGTCCATACTACATGAAGACTGGAACATGCAAGTATGGTGCAACATGCAAATTTGATCACCCACCTCCTGGGGAGGTCATGGCTATGGCTGCGGCGCAAGGAACGCCCACAACAATAGGTCAGGACTAGAAAGGAGACGTGAAATCAGAACTATGAGAAGCCGTTAAGAATGACAAATTAGATGGTTTTGGTAGCGTGATGCTTTGGAAATCAAACTTTGGATGGACAATTGAATGTAATGTAAGGCTTTGTTGATTAAGTTTTGAAAAAGCTTTGCTATTTTATTAGTTGAATTATTGGTTGCAAATGAATTTGTATTTGCAGTAATAGATTGTGTATATTTCTTTTCCAAGTACTAGATTGTTTGATGTTTGAGAGTGTTTGATCATCCATAAGGTATGTTTGGTTGGGCTGTCAGGTTCAGGTGTCGGATCATTTCTGATTTTGGTTTGGGTATTTTTAGATTTGCATCATTTTGAGTTTTCTATATGATTTATTTTGGGATCCGATTGACCCCAAGGAGTTTCTAATTTTTTAAAATTTCTTCTCATTGAACAAAGTTTGATACTGTCTTCGATCATGTTATGAGGTTTGATCGTACAAGTCGTCATTTGATTAATTCGTATAGCAAAAATCAAGATTGATTTTTAAAATTTTAAATAAATTTGATAATTAATGTATTTGTGTCGTGTGAAATGTTAATAATTTAGTATTAATTAAATATATATTTTTTATCTTGTTATTCATATATGATTTTTATTAAAATTTTAAAATGAATTATTTTCGTGTTTTTCATTCATATCATCCTTTTGTCTTATGATATATGGATATTACATGATTAAAAGATATAAATAAAAAAATGACAAAAATGTAAATAAATAACAAGAAATTATAAATAAATGCCACAAAGCATATAAACCTAATACATACATATCTGCATGGTTATAAACTTAATGATTTACATAATTATGCATATGTAAGTGTTCATAATATAATTTATATGACGTGTTACAATGAAAAGCATAGTAAATCAAATCATAACGTATTCTTGTATGATATACAAAGTTAACAAAATATTCAAAGGGCAATTTATGATAAAGGGTCAAAAAAGTAAAAAAGACAAAACAAAAAGCCAGAAAAATGACACATGGCACCAAATACATATACATAATTTATATATTAGATTAGATAGGCAATGTTTGTCCGTTGTATTTGGTTTTTCCTTTTCTTCTTTGAATTTTATGCTTTAAAAATGTGGGGAATGAGTCCCTTCTTCAACTTATTATCTTTGATTTTGATTCTTCATCGTCCAAAAATCCTATTTGTAGAAACTACCAATGCAAGTTCACAAGATTCCCCTTAGCAGTCAGGCCCACCTTTCTTATCAACACGTCTGCATGCGGGCATTAAAAAATTCAATAGATAAGAAATATCCTCTCTCAAGAAAAATCATATATATATAACTTTACATGGAGATTAAATATTTAAAACATTTTCAAATTAAAAATTAATATAATAAAAGAAAGATACATGTTAATTTTCCAAATCAATGCATGAAATCTCAAACAATATGTATCATAATAATAATAATAATAATAATATTACTGTTCGATCCTAATTTTTTTTTAATTTTTCTTTCTTTTTAATATTCTAGTTCTTTTTATGCTTTATAATTTTTATTTTATTGTTTTGAAAATGAAAATTGTGATATATCAATTTTATAATATGAAATAAAATATTTAAATATTCAAATATTAAATTAAAATTTCTCATAATTTATATAATGAAATGGCTCGTTTTATATATTTTTAATTTTATATTTAAATTTAAATTTTATGTTTTAAATCAAATTAATCAAAAATTAAAATTTTAAAATAATTTTGGATAGAAGATCAAAAATAATTGAATGATGAATAAATTAAAAGAATTAAATCAGTTGAATAGATTAATTGAATTAAAATTGAAACATAAACGCAAATAATCGTTTTTGTAGAAAATACATTAAAAACAAAGACGTTGGGTTGGGTGTAAGTAAGAGTCGTTTTATCTGTGCGCTTCCCTTAAGTTGGTTCCATAAAATGAAAAAAAAGTAAAATAAAAGGGTGATACTTCACTCACCAGCCGCCTTCAACTTGAAGAGCATTGAGCAAAAGGGAGGGAGGCCGTTGGTGTTTTGCTTTATCTCTTTGATATCTCACATTTTGATTCTGCAAAAAATAAAAGATAAAAATCTTCAACTCACGCTTTGGACTTCGTAAAGACATTCAGTCACTGTGAACGAGGTTAAAAAGGTCGGTATTCTTTTTTTTTTTTTTTTTCTCTTCTAATATTTTCCTTTAAGGCTGCTTTGCTTTGTTTTGTTTAGGTCCAAAGAGAAAATGAAGTACGTGGTGGTTACAGGAGGAGTAGTGAGCGGTCTGGGGAAAGGGGTAACTGCCAGCAGCATCGGTCTTGTGCTTAAATCATGCGGCCTTCGTGTCACTTCTATTAAGATTGGTACTGTAATTTCAAATGCTTTAACGTTTTGACTCGATCACAAATAAAACCTGTTATAATATGTGCAGATCCTTATCTCAACACTGATGCCGGTACAATGTCCCCTTTTGAGCATGGGGAGGTGTTTGTCCTTGATGATGGCGGCGAGGTATTTTAGTTTCGAATCTTTATGAAGTGCCACTGTCAACGCAATATTAACTAACCATGTTCTGGATTTGAAGGTGGACCTAGACCTTGGAAACTATGAGCGCTTTCTTGACATCACATTAACGCGTGACAATAACATAACAACAGGAAAAATTTATCAGGTCTGTTCACTTATCTTTCAACATTTCTACCTATTGAAAACCCTCTCTTCAATCCTATGCCTTTGATTTCCACAGTCTGTTATTGACAAGGAGAGAAAGGGAGATTATCTTGGAAAGACTGTCCAGGTCTGTTTTAAGGTTCCACTATGTTTTCAATAAAGCTTGCAAAAATACGTGCAATGCAACTTATAATTTCCTGATTTTATATCTCTTCTTTGTTCTAGGTTGTTCCGCACATTACTGATGCCATCCAAGAATGGATGGAACGTGCAGCGATGATACCAGTGGATGGAAAGGAAGGCCCTGCCGATATTTGTGTCATTGAATTGGGTGGAACTATAGGTATATTGACTACAACAATGTGTGTTAGCTGCATTTGTTCTTCTTTTATGTTTCTTAGTTGTAGCTTTTCTTGATGCAGGGGATATTGAATCTATGCCATTTATTGAGGCACTTGGTCAATTCTCATACCGTGTTGGTAACAATATTATATTCTGCATTCTTATCTAATTGGTAAATATGAATTCTTTCAGATGTTCTACTGGTGGGATGATAATTTCAATTTATGTTTCTTGTCTTAGGCCCCGGGAATTTCTGTTTGGTTCATGTCAGCCTTGTGCCTGTTATCAATGTTGTTGGTGAGCAGGTATACCAAAAGACTTTCTATTTCCTAGCACGTCAATTTTCATAACTTGCATGCGGTTGATCATAGCTCATGTGTATGAAAGTCAGAGAAGCCTGTTGAGTATAATAAACTTCTATTTTCGATGAGTCATTATTTCTGATTATCATTACAACAAATTCAAATAACAGAAAACAAAGCCTACCCAGCATAGTGTTCGCGGACTTAGAGGACTTGGCTTGACACCAAATATTCTTGCTTGTCGCAGTACAAGGGTTTAATTCTCATTTCTCTTTTTTGACTGTACATGCCAATGCTAGTTTTTGCATTTCTCATTCATTCTCTAACCCATTGTTTTGCAATAGGCACTTGATGATAATGTCAAGGGAAAACTATCTCAATTTTGCCATGTGCCGGTAAATGGATCATGAATGCTATTTGTCTGCTTCTCTGGCATTTCTAGTATCAGTAATTACTGTTATTAAGCAATGACTTATTTCCAGGCTGAAAACATTGTCACTCTCTATGATGTTCCAAATATTTGTCACATTCCTTTACTACTAAGAGTAAGTAGTTCTCTTTTGAGTTTATTGTTGTCTAACTTCTTAGGACCAAACTACAATGTAAAAAATCTTTTTTTTCATTTACTAATTCATTTGTTTATTTTTTCTGATCATGAATAGGATCAAAAGGCACATGAAGCAATCTTAAAAGGACTGAACCTTCTAGGGTTTGCCTTATGAACTCTTTACCCCCTTGTCCTTATCCCCTCTATTTTCTTTTACTTTTTCTTATTGCGTGACCTATCTCCGCTCCCTCTCTCTTCTCTTTATGTTTTGGCTGTGCTAAGAATACTTTTTATTCTGCAGCATCTGGCTGTAATTTTCTGGTGTGCATGCATATTTACACTTCTATGAATTGCAGGATTGCGAGGGAACCTGATTTAACGGAGTGGACTGCTAGGACCAAAGTTTATGACATGCTTCATGATCCTGTGGGTCTCAAGCATCAGTAAAGTATGAGTTATTTGTATTTATTTGCTTATGGTGAAAACCTAATGCTCTTTGCTGTCATCTACATTGCAGGTTAAAATTGTCATGGTTGGAAAATACATTGGGCTTAAAGATTCTTACCTCTCTGTTTTAAAGGTGAAAGCTTTGCTGCAAAAAGCTCTATCCTTTTTATTGTTATAATTATTATAATTTATCTCTGCCCCTTTCTCTAAATCATTTCAATCTGTTAATGCTATGTTTGTATTAGGTTGTTCACTAAGTAGCCCCAGCCTCCATCTCCCTAAAAACACTCTCTTGTCATCATATGATTCCTTCTATGAGATATTAAGTGTTCCTTTAGCTCAACTAAAGGAAGAGCTTTTCCACTGCAATACTTGAAGCAAGTTGTTTGGCTCTAAAAATTTTAAGATTTTTAGCTTATGTGTGAAAGCTTGTTATGGTTTTTATTCAACTTATTTTATTGTACATTTTTCTTTATTTTATTTTATTTTATATATTTGGTTCATTTTTATTTTAATTTCATTTATTTTTTAGCCAATTAACAAAAAGTTATTTTATTTATTTATTCAACTTTAAATTTTATGATTTGGTTTAATGAGGTTGGCTCTTTTATTTTATTTATTTTAAAAGTAACTAAAAATATTATTGAATAATAAGGTTGAGTCTTTTATTTTTTTATATCCTACAGCACTTGCGGATTTTGGTCAAGTTCTATCTTAACTTCTTTTATAGAACTCCTTGGGGGTTGCGTTATGAATGTCTGATCCCTAACCTTTATAGCAACTCTACTCTAAAAGCACTTCCCTAAGGAAGTTCTAGTTGGGTGAGAGAAGCTTTAAAAGGATAATAGGCATGCACTCCAAATGGTTTTCTAATATTTTAGGTTAATTGTTATAGGCACTTTTGCATGCATCTGTTGGCTGCCACAAGAAGCTTGTTGTAGAGTGGGTTGAAGCAAGCCATCTTGATGATATTACTGCTAAAGAGGTGAGTTTTGATTGTAAATTGTTACAGTAGTGATTTTCATGGAGTTTTCTTTCTATTGTAATTTTTCCTGCAAAAGAATATATTTCCCTGCCACTTTTACGTCTTTTAGAACATATACTAACAATGTCTGTAATTTAATCCATGCAGGATCCAGACATATATAGAGCAGCATGGAACTGTTTGAAGGTTTTTTTCACTCCTTGGATTGTTGACTTGGAATTTTTTATTTTTTGGGTTTATATTCTTCATTTTCTCGTGATTTATAGCTATTTCCCTCAAAAGAGCCTCTAAATGGCCTCCTAATGCAGGGTGCTGATGGTATCTTAGTTCCTGGAGGTTTTGGTGATAGGGGAGTGCAAGGGAAGATTCTTGCTGCTAAGTATGCCCGAGAAAGCAAAGTTCCTTTCCTGGGCATCTGCCTTGGGATGCAGATAGCTGTCATAGAGTATGCACGTTCAGTTCTAGGCTTGCATGATGCCAACAGTACAGAATTTGATCCTAAAACAACAAATCCTTGCGTCATATTTATGCCAGAGGTGTATACACTTTATTATTTTTGACAAAAAAAATTGCCTTGTCTAGTCCCACTCAGTGAACAGATATGTATTTTTTTTATTTTTTATTTCGCAGGGTTCAAAAACTCATATGGGAGGAACCATGCGTCTGGGATCAAGGAGGACTTACTTCAAGGTTCCTGACTGCAAATCTGCCAAGTTGTGAGTGCATGGCTCTCTTAAGCTTATATGTCTAGATATGATCTTGCACACTTCTTGAAATCCTTTAGGGATTCATATATTCTATGCATCATTTCTTTTTCTTTAATAGTTGTTTCTGTTCTAGGTATGGTGGTGCTACCTTCGTTGATGAGCGGCATCGGCATAGATATGAGGTAGTCTACTCATGCGTGGGATGCTATATGTGGGGGGAAGAGTTTTTATTTTCTAGTTCTTAAGATTGATGTTCATCCTCTGTAGGTCAATCCTGATATGATATCAAAACTTGAAGCAGCTGGTCTGTTGTTTGTTGGCAGTGATGAAAGTGGTAGGCGGATGGAGGTAAGCTACATACAAAATCACCACAACTTATCTCTATCAAAACCCAACTTTCTGTGCTCAATATTTTTACCAATTGTTGCTTCTATGTATAACATTTAATCCCCGATGGTTATGAGCATTGTATGTTGGCTGAACAGATTGTTGAACTGCCAAGCCATCCGTATTTTATTGGCATTCAGTTCCATCCTGAATTCAAATCCAGGCCAGGAAAGCCTTCTGCACTTTTCTCAGGTACTTTATCCATAATTTTTTTCATATCTCGCATAGGGCTTTGTATTGGTTGGAGCATAATAGTTTGCTATTTAAATTATTTGATCCTTGGTGTTATGCCTCTACTTGGTTAATGATGCAGTTTCTTCATAAGTCACTAGAACAGTTAGCTAAATTTTTTAGAGGCTACTGCATCTAGGACGTCTTACTCATTTTATTATGTGCAAAAATTGAAGATGCAGTGCTGTTTTTATTCTTGTTGCTCCAAATTCTTTCTCAATGTAATTAGTTAGTTGCCATAAATAGCTCATTTAGAATGCCAAAACAGCAAATATTTTTTATGTCAACTGACTTGGAATCCACAACCTGGACAGTTAATTGAATAAATCTGCAAAGAAGGCTTGCCTGGATTAATTTAAATTGGAGTGCTCTAGAGTTGGAGTTGGGGGTGAGGCAGAATGCTAATAAGGTAATTGACCAAGGAAGATTGCATCATACAATCATGATAGCACTATTGCTTAAAAATATGTTATCAGTAGAATCTGTCTTCAAAAGGAAGAGTATATTGATATTTATACAAGCTACTACCACCCTATTCCTAAAAGAACTAGAACTCCTATCACATGTAGGACTTCAAAGAAAATGCTAAGGACTCCTAATAGAAAACTAATAAACTTGAATTAGGAAAAAAGGTTAATAGGAAAAGGAAAAAAATTAAGATACTAAACCCTAATGTTAATCTAATATACCAAATATAAATCTATAAAATATTATGATTTAAGCCCATAAATACAGTGAGTGACAAAATAAAATCTTAAGTAAGCTAATCTCTCAATTAGTTAATAGCGTTTTCCATCATGGGGTTACAACAAAGGTGTGCTGCTTTGGTTAATTGTGAATGCTAATGGTCCAATAAAGTATGAAACATAGACAACAGTCAGTGTTGCTTCCTAAACCAGTAGAATGCTGCTTTTTATTCTGGTTTTCTTAAACCTCATGCGAGAGCATCTCCTGACATAAAAGCACTTAGCTCTGCCAAAGCATTCATTCGTCACCTTTAAGTGAAAATTTCTATGGTATTGTTTTTCTAAAGCTAATTCAATCGTTGAAGGTATCTGGACAATTTGAAATGCTTATTCCTAAGGGGCTTCTCTTCATGTTCATTTCTTGTGACTTTAATGCTGAAATCAATGAGTTGAAGCAATCAGTTTCTTGGTGATAGAGATGACTGTATCAGGTCATTATTATCTTTGTCCTGACTTTTTTGTATGCTAAGATTATAGGTTCTGATAAAACATGGGTTTAGAAATCATTGGGTTGTGATAATTGCACTTCCCTAGCATGTAGGAATATTGATTTTACTTATGCTTAGCAATATATTGTTGTACTTTATGATGATTCTTTTATTTCATGAAGTTGCACCTAAATTCATCTGTTGAACTTTGACAATCAAATTAAGTATCCTTTTGTCAATTCCAGGACTTATTGCAGCATCATGCGGGCAGTTGGATTCACATCTAAACAAGACTGGTCATGTGAGCAAAGCTATGGCAAATGGGTTAAGCAATGGAAGAGCAACTTATAAGGACCGACAAATGGCTTCGAATGGTTCATTAAATGGTGTGTACAGCAATGGTAACAGTGTGCATCATTAAGAAGCTGTGTGATAGAACTTTTTGATTCAGGGTTCAAGTCTCTCCAAGAGTTTTTGATAGAAGTGGATTCTGTTTGTACAGTGGTTGAGTAGGGACTAGGGTAGCATTTTAGCAATTGAGGGATTTTCGGAAGTGGCAGAATATGGACAGGAGGTGTACAAGGTAGCAACCCCGTCCCAAGTTGAACTTAGCATCCTCTGTTTCCTAGGATTTTTCATTCGATTGTGCCAAGAGAATGTCAGTCTAAACAATTGAAGGCTTAGCAGTCTGCTGCCATTATGTTTTCAATAAACAAAACTGTTACATGACGCATAAAGACTCATTTTCATCAATTTATCTTGGTTCTAGAAGATCAGCTGACCCATCAAATCGCAATTTTTAACGGGATTCGGATCTGGGGCTAGAGTCTCAGACATCAGATAATGTTTAGATCATAGCTTTGCTGATATAAGGTGTTTTCAAAACGACAAAAACTAGGGAACAACATCAATCAGAACTGAGCTAGCAAGAACAGTTCCGAAGAAAATCCAGGAAGAACAGAGTAACATGATGTGAAATATTAGAAAGAGAGAGAGAGAGAGACAAGCGAGATAACGACGAAGTAGTTGTATTATTTTTTCTTGATTTCGCCATAAGCGATTGATAAAACATATATGCTTAAGTTGATTTTCCCTCGTTTACTTTAATTCACATAAACAAAACTAACAGAAATAACAGTTAATGTCAACTAAGATTGATTGAGTTAGTAAAGTTTAAATATTTTATTTGTAAGTTTATGTTCAAATCCCGTTATCAATAATTTTTTCTTTTTTTTGGTGAATAATTTATAAATTCAATGTAAGTTCAAATTAAAGCTTGCAATTGGTCTTGACTTTGAAATGAAAAAGTCTCTGCTCACCTTAAATTTTTAAGTTTTTGCCTGGTAAAAAGAATATAAAAGGTTGAGCATGAAAAATTTATTAATCAAATGATTAAAATTTATAATTACTTTCTTATTTTGTAACTTTTCCTTTCAGAATATTTTCATCATTCTTATCAAGTAAAGCTTTAATTTAAAAAAAAAAAAGCTAATGTGGTTTTTATTTACAAAACTGCCCCTCTTCTCTTATTTATATTCCAATTGGACAATCCATTAGTCAAGTTGGTTAAAGATTATAAATGGAGATTTTCTTTTTAAATTTTTACTGGAGATGGGGAATAGATTGGCTTTTTATAGGATCAATTTTACTAACTGGATTTATCATCATTTTAGCTACTTTGGCGGCTTGGCTAGATACTACAAAAGAGTTTGTCCAATAAACCAAAACCTAAGTGGTAGGTTGTTTGTGTTTTATAACCATCTTCTTGGCCAAGTTCATTGAGAATTGACTGCATGTTGAGTGCATATTTTTTTCAATTGAGAAACATGAAAGACTAGATGCAATTGAGAACTAGTTGGCAGTGCTAGCTTGTATGCTATTGTTCCCACTTTATCAATGATCTCATTTGGGCCAAGTATATTGGTGTTAGCTTTTGAAATTGGTTGTTAGCTAGTAAATTCTTCTAGTAAGGTTGCAACTTCAAATAAACCCATTCACCAATAAAAACTTGTTTATCATTTGTGTGGTTATAAGCTTGATGCTTCATTCTTTGTTGAGTTTTAAGCAAGTGATACTTGAGAAAATGCAACATTTTTTCTATTGTCTGCAAGCTAGTATCCACTGTGTGGACTTGTGAGTTAACAGGTAAGTAAGGCACATGCACAAGAAAAGGTTAGGCATTAAGGCTTCGAATGGGGTAGTTGTTTATGTTGAGCTTTAACTCGGGGGTCTTCTTAGAAAGACAAAAAAAGAATAGGGTGGTTAGATGCAAAAGAAGGAAGTGTTCTTTATATTTATATTTTGACGCGCAAGTCAAAAATCAAGATAAAAGAGGTCAAAAGGAGAGAAAAGTAAGAATTAGGACAAGATGAACTTAGAATGATAGTACTTGGATGTTCATATTTATACATAGAGAGTGAAAGACTTAAGGGGACAATAATGACGTGACCAAGTTGATGTGGCATTGAACATGTCAAGCCGCTCAAATGTTCGAAATGCTTTTGGTTGTCTATTGGTAACTGCTAATAAGGGGAAAAGATTACATGTATTTTTTACCACTAAATACCCCCAATATTTTATCTTCCCACTGAGTAGTCTGAGTATCAAACTATTCGGTAGGTGATTAATTTATTTTGCATATATTTGTCGATTTAAAAAGATTGCCAAGGATCTGACCTTTTTGGGCTGACATCAAATGTCCATAAGATTGGCGTGATAGGCAAGCATCAAGGGCACAAGTTTGATTTTGCATGTGTTTTAGGTTAAGCATATGGCCTGTTTATGGGTTGCCAAAGTGGCTTTGCTTTGGGTGGTTTGAGTTGAAGATGAGGGGGTTTAACAGAGCTGATGGAGTTTGTTTAACCGATGTGAGACTTAAACATTTATAGGAACTTGAATCCTTGTTTATGCTCTAGAGATGACCTGGTAGTTGGTTCACCAAACCAGTTTAACCTAGGGTCTTATTTAGTCTAATCGATCTGATTGGTTTAGGTGATTGAGATCATATTTAATAAGGAGAAAGGTTATTTAGGTGGCAAAATTTAAAGTAGGAAAAGTGAAAAGATGTTTTTCGATGACGTCTTGACATGTGGTGTAATCTGGATTGTTCATATAATTTAGGATGTGGCTCTGTAAAATATTGTTGGGACCTTTATTTTTCACCTTTTTGCTTTCTAAATCGACCTAAACCTTTTGACTTAAAAGCTTTTTAGCCTTTCTTAACCTTATAATTTTATTTTTTTCAACCGTTCTCTTTTCTTACTTTGATATGTATTCTTCTCATCATGTCTACTAGCACTAGTTCTGGAGGTAAAGGGAGTTTTAGGGTAGAGCCAATGGGAGGTCGGCTTGGGCATGACAATGATAACCTAGTCCCACCGATCATCAAAGGTCAAGATAATAGAAAAATAGTTACTGGCTCAATCAATGTCCCATGAAGAGCAGTAGAAGGTTGACAAAAATGCTCTAGCTTGAAGAAAACGGGTCCTAGATGTGAGAGAACTGTGCGCTTAAATGGATTTTGATTGGGGAATCCTCATTTTCCAATCTCCTAGGTCAGTCTATCTTTTACGACCAACCTTTCTTCTCTTTCAACTATTTCCCTTTTTAAGGTTTAGCCTTATCAACCTTTTACCTCTTTTGCTTATTGACCTTCTATCGTTGATGCTCATATTCTATCATCTCTTCTTTTTTAGTCAACGCTTGTTGATGTTCCATTTTTTTTTTAAAAGTCTTTTCATCTTTTTTCTTCCTCTGACATTGTGGTGCTTTAAGTAAGATGACGAGAAAGGTTTTAAGTAAGATTAAATGGAAGAGGATAACTCGATCGAAGAAGGTGAATGTGAGGGTGAGTTTTCTTCAAAGGTAGACGAGTTAGCTAAAGTTCTAGTTTATACCCCCAGTTCCTTAGGCATAATTTCCAAATATGTGATGACTTCATTAGGTTGGTCAAAGTCTTAGCTCAAGGGTTAGAATAAACATGTTAGAATAAACATAATCATATTTGACTTTAAGTTTTAGGTCGAACTTAGTTGAAGTTAGATTAGGTCAGACAAAGGCCAAGTTTAGGACTCACAGTAAACTGGATCATCATAACTCTATTCAATGATTTTTAGATTACAAGTGTGAGCTCAATTTCATCCAAACTATTAATAGTACGCTTTCAAATTATCTACATTTCATGTCCTAGGGATAGGACTGCCATTCATGTCTTATAATCTATAAATCGTATTATGGACAACCTTCTTAACCACATAAAGTCTTTCTAAGTTGTAATTAGCTTACCACTTCAGCTGTCAACTTCTGAGGCTTCGATCTTCCTAAGAACTAGGTCATCTTTCTTAATGTTTTTACGTTAAACTCGTTGATGTAGTAGTTAGTACCTTTTATTGATCAGCTGCTATTAGGGTCAGATCCACATCTCTTTATTTTTCAACCAAATCTAGGTCAAGCTTGAAGGCCTTTTAATTTTCCTCTTTTAAATTAAGTTTGACTCTTAAGCTCAAGAGGTCGATCTCAATAGGTACTATGACTTTGGTCCCAAATGCAAAGTGAAAAAGAGTCTCTTTTACGGGGACCTTTGTGGTTATCCTTAGGGCCTATAGTACTTTAAGGAGCTTGTCAACCCACTTGCCCTTAATTTCATTCAATTCTTCTTTAGGGCCTCCAATATTGTTTTATTGGCTGTCTTAGTTTGGCTATTAGATTGAAGATGTGCAATCGACATGAATATTAGATAAATGTGAAGGTTAGAACACCATTCTTTAAACCTCAAATTTTCAAACTATTTGCCATTGTTTGTTATTACGAACTAAGGTAGGCAAAACTTGTAGACTACATTCTTCCATACAAATTTCTCAACTTGGGCTTCTGTTGTAGTGGTTAAGGCCTGGTTTTCAAGCTATTTTGTGAAGTAGTTTATTACTACTAGAACAAATCTCCTTTACTTTGTAGTCGAGGTGAATGGTCCAATGATGTCTATTTCCTATTGTATTAAAGGCTAAAGGTTGATGATAAAAGTGAGTTCGATTGATGAAAGATGTTGTACATAGGTAAATCTTTGGTATTTGTCACATTTTTTCACTAGGTCAGTTATATCCTTTCTGATGGTGGGCCAATAGTAACCCTGCTTAAGTACCTTGTAAGCCAGCAGCCAAAGTCTAAAGTGATTTTCACATATCCCTTCATGGATTCTCTAAGGACATAGTTTGCTTTTTCGTTATCCACGCACCTTAACTAAGGCAGGTTGGAAAATCTTTTGTATAGCTTCCCATTAATTATAGTGTACCAAAAGCTTTCTTATCAAGGTTTTAGCTTGAACATTGTCGTTAAAAAGTTTTTCTGTGGTTAAGTATACCTTAATTGGGGTCATCCAAGTCTTTTTTTCCTTGATCTGTCCTACCAGTTTCTTTTCAATGCTTTTTTATGGCAATTCTTCCACTAGGACTTAGCCAAAAATTTTCATTATCATCTTTGAGGCTAGCTTGGACAAGGAGTTTACTAGCATGTTTTTTGACATCGATATTTCTTTTTTTTGGCTTTGTAGAAGGCAATGATAAGGCCAATGCTTTGTCTAAGTATTTTTAGATTTTTTTTTCCTGACTCTGAACTCACCATTTATCTAGCCGACCATTACTTGAGAATCACTATATACAATTATATGCTTTACACTTAGCTCGGCTACCAATCTTAGGTTAGATATTAATGCCTCATACTTGGCCTTATTGTTAGATGCCTTGAATCCGAATTTGATGGCATATTGATATCATAATCCTTTCGAGCTGATTAGGATGAGGTCGACCCCATTACTGTGGCTGGTAGCAATCTATCAATAAAAAATTTTCATAGTTCTTCTTCCTTAATTTTCTTGTTTTTCTCAATCTGCTTATCAGCTTGAGTTGATGTGAATTCTATAATGAAATCAGCTGGTATTTGAGATTTCAAGGCTAACCTAAAAAGTATATATAGGTAAAATTCACTGAGTTTTACTATTTAATTTTTTACCTGATAGCTTTGGTTTTTGTAAGACCTGTATAAACGGTTAATCAAATAGTACATGAGTTGTATGAGCTTAAAAATATGGTTTGAGTTTTTTGGCTAATGTGATGACTGTATAGGCTAGCTTTTCTAT